CCCCCCAACTTGCTTGCTTGGACTCTCGGTTTTATATTTTTATTTCATTTTTCCAAATTAATGCTTCTTACTAAAATATTTTTTTTCTGTAATTTATCACTTTAAAATAGTTTTGTCAAATAAGTCCTCATGTTAATATTTTTCATATATTCTTCTAAAATATTATTATCTCAAATACGACCGTAATAAATACTTTTTTTCTTTTTCTTTTTTGAATCCTTGTATTTTAAAACGTTTCTCATTGAAATAGATTTTTTTCTCTAATTTATCATTTGAAGAACATCTCAAATATGTCCCTATTTAAATTTTTTTCACCCGGCTAAAGTATTATATTATCAATATGACCCAAAGAAATACTTTTTCCACTAATTAAATTATTAAAGTTTTCTTTATTCAAATGTATCTTTTTAAAAATCTAGTATTTACTATTAAGTGTTTCATCCAAAACACATGTTTTAGCTTTTGTAATGAGAAAGCTCTCGTTTAGTTCGCTAGTTTGAATTTTTTAATTTGAACAGAAAAATTTAAATTGTAGTTTGAATTGACGTTTGGATGTATAGTTAAAGTTTTAATTTGAACAGGGAATAAAATTTGAATTTGTGTTTAGTAGGTATGAAAAGTAGAGAGAGTGGACTCTTTTTACTGATAAAAAATAGTTTGAACTTTTGAACTTGAGGGGGGAGCAAAACTCTAAGTTGGGTTGTTTAACTCAGTTCAAACGGAGAATATAATTCAAACTGTATGCTTATCAAATACCAGTTCAAACTGTACTCACTGTTCAAACTGAATTGAACCAAACTAAATTAGTGAAACAAACAGGGGCTTAGATTATTCAACCCTCAATTGATAGGGGTTGATGCACTTTGAGCCCCCTACTATAGTCACACCTAAATCAAAGTGCATGCCTACTGTTTTTTTATTTGTTTTCATAAGCAATTTTATTTAAGAATCTCTATACTCTATATTATATATCTATACTACATATAGAAGAGAAGAGAACATGACTCAAATTGTGCGGTTTAAATTATAGTTTGAATTGACGTTTAGATGTGTAGTTAAAGTTTTAATTTGAACAGGAAATAAAATTCGAATTTGTGTTTGGTAGGTGTGAAAAGCAGAGAGAGTGGACTCTTTCAACTGATCAAAAATAGTTTGAACTGTTGAACTTGAGGGGGGAGCGACACTCTAAGTTTGGTTGTTTAACTCAGTTTAAACGGGGAATATAATTCAAACTGTATGCTTAGTAAACGTCAGTTCAAACTTTACTCATTGTTTAAACTAAATTGAACCGGACTAAACTAGTGAAACAAACAGGGATTTAGATTATTCAACCCTCGATTGATAGGAGTTGATGCGCTTTGAGCCCCCTACTTTCCTGAATGGAAGCCTATAGTCACACCTAAATCAAAGTGCACGCCTACTTTTTTTTTTTTTAAATTTGTTTTCATAAGCAATTTTATTTAAAATCTCTATACTCTATTATATATCTATACTACATATAGAAGAGAAGAGAACATGTATTTATTTTGGACATTAACATTGACACCCCTGTATTTTGTTAAAATAACAGAGACACTCCCTTTACTAAAATTAATTATGTCAACACCCTTAACTTTTCAAAAAAAAAAATCATCTATAAGAGAAACACTCCTTGATCGAAACTAATTACGTTAACATTGACATCCCTGTTGATAACTCTATGAAATATGGTTATTTTACTAATTTTTTGTGCATGTAAATTTGCTAAGT